GATCCTGTTCGGCTGTGGAATGCAGTCGGACACCCATGCGCCCGGGCTTTCGGATCAGACCCCCATGGGACCAGAGATGGACCCAGAGATGCCGCAGTGCAGCGGGGACCCCGAGACCCCGGGAGGGAACGCTCGGCCTTTGTGCACGTCTTGTCCCAACCTCCTGACACGTGCCTGGGCTTGCGGGGAGATGGCTCTGGCTCTGGTTGAACCACAGAGCGGATCACGTCAGTCATTTCGGTGTCTTTGGTGAATTTCAGAACAGAGCCTGCAGGAGGCGGCAGCCCCGCTGCCCCAACCTCTCACGGGTGCTAGAAACAGCCCCTCGCCAGGGGAGGGGACACAATTTCCCGGGCACCTACTGTGCGCCAGGCGGTGGTGGTGAGACCGGTGGATGCATTCATGGATGACCTCTCGGGGCAGCCGCTAAGGCAGGCCGCCCGCTCTCTTTTGCAGGACACCTGAGACGGTCAGAGGGAATGATGCTCGGGAATGCATAAGTACTACGTGCAGGAGCCTGGCCGCACACCCAGCTCTGCCTGCCTCCCAAGTTCTCATGTTTTTCCCCACCGTCCTTTCTGGGGAGACTCAGCCCTTTGTTTTTGTTTGTTTGTTTGTTTTTCCTCTTGTGCTTTGGTGCTGGGCTCATGGCCTAGGAAGTGTCCTCCCTGCGAGCATGAAGGAGCCACTAGTTCCTGCTTGGTTGTGTTTTTCCTTACAGTTTTTGAAGGACACTTTGTTTCGATTAGATTTGGTGTTAGGAAAGCAGTTTAAGTGTTTTCCTTTCAACGTAGAGGAGAAAATGATGAAATATACATTCAGATGTACTTATACACATTCAAATACAATGAACACCTGGCATACATACACAGAGGATTGTAGCCCAACATAGTTACGTCAGCTCGTTAATTGCTCCACCTCCCCGTGGAGATGTGGATCTAACAACCCGCGAGTTAGCACGGGGATTGTCCTCAGCGCCCTCAGTTTCACACGGGCCAGAGACGTGGGTTGTATGCTGTGTTCTCAGAACCCGCCCACTCCAGGAAGGACATGGGACGTGGTACCAGGAGGTCCTGAGAGTTCATCCGACAGACGGCTGCCCGTCACCGCTCGCTTCCCTCAGACGCCTGCTCCGGGGTGTCTCTGTGGCCCGCGGCCCGGCCGCCTGCCGCTCGAGTCAGCCTGGAAGACCCCTCGTTGGTTGTCCCAGGTTGCTGGGTCGTGTGTCCTCATGACCGGAGGCCGGTCCCTCCATCTGGTGCCTCCGTGAGGCCGTGACTGGACTGGAAGGTCGTTCTTTATTCACCCGCCTTCACGCACCTGCCCGCGTGAAGCTGCTGTCTGGAGGGGGACGTGAGACCCAGCCAGTGGCGTGAACCCTGGATGTGTCCCTGATGGACGGCCTTCTATCCCGCGGCCCGGAGCCCACTTCTGCCCGCGGCCTCCTGGGCCATCAGGGATGCGGTGGGCTGTGCCGATGACTAAGTCAGCAGTTGCTTTCACTGAAGGGACGTGGGCACAGGATGACAGCTCAGACACAGCGCGTGGGCCAGCAGAGCTGGGCCGCTCACACCCGGGAGGATTCGTTCCTGGGCGGGTGCCGTGCTGGGCGCTCGCAGCTGCAGGTTCTGGAGGAGTCAGCAGACTCCTTCCTCCAGCGGCCAAGGTGCTGGTCGCCAGGACGGCGGGTGGAGGATGCCCACCTGGGGAGAGACGGGCCACAGCTGCTGTGGTGCAATCCTCCGAGTGCCCAGGCAGCTGCCCAGGCGGAGCTCTCGGGAGGGAGCAGGGAGTGGGCAGAAGGGCTCTCAGCCTTTGGGGACTAGTCCAGATGGAGGGACTGTGCTCCATGCCAGCTCTCCCGAGTGACCTGGAGGTTTGGGAGGACACACACACACACACACACACACACACACACGAGCACGAAGACTGGGTGAGAGCCGGAGTGAACAGATGCCTGAATGAACTCAGCAGCTTTTCTCTTAGGAGCCTCCTCCTAAATATCACACAAGAAGGGAAGGAAGCAGCGGCCGCGCGTGCGTGCCCAGGGTAACGACACCTACTCCGGTTGCCGCAGGGCGTGCCTTTCCACCGCGAAAAGCGGACGCTTTGCCAAAGAATGTCCTTGGAGTGATGCGTCGTATTTTTCCTTCTGTTATTTAAGTCGAATGTATTGAGTGTAAGCAGTTCGGCTGTGAGCTGGAATGTGTGGTGGGCCCTCCAGCCCCCGTGGAGCCCCCCGCGTGGCCGCCGCCAGGGCGTGTGGCCGACGGTGGTTTTCGGCGTGGCTGGTTGTGTTTCCTGTCCACAACCCAGAGCGGGCTTGGTAGCAAGCTGCCTGGGACGCATTTGTCCGGGGTCTAGACTAAAGGCATTCATGTTTGCAGTTCATGCGTTCATTCATCCTCGCACCAAACAGTTACTGAGCACTTCCTATGGACACAGCGTTATACCACGTGTGTTTTGTGGCTACAAAGATGGGATGCACCCTCCACCCAAAACTCCAGGGCAAGCATGTCAAACTCATGGCCGGTGGGCCGCATTTAATGAGGCATGTGGCCCGCTGACCGTGAGTTTGACATGCTTGCTCCAGGCACTTCAGTTCTCAAAATACATTTATATTGACAGTCCATTCAATCAGGTAGCGAACGTTTCAAATTAGTTCCTTGAGCATACATCAACAGAAATGAGTTAATTCTTTAACTCAGTAAAAATGGCAGTGTTTTTTTTTTTAAATGAACTTTAAAGATTGTGTGTCTTGGTTGGATTGCCTCGCCTGTGCTTGTGCCTGTGTGGCCGTGCATATACACACGTACATACACACACGTGCACTCATAGGCCCCCGCCTGCCCTTCTGAGCCCAGTCGGGTCCACTTGCAAGTGTTTGGTCTTCCCTGTGGGGCCCTGCGGGCACGCGGCATGCGTGTGAGCTACGCAGACAGACAGAGCCTTGGGAACTCTCAGTCACCAAGGCTCTCTCATGGCTCTGCTCGCCTTGGGTCTCCCTCACCCCGCATTGCCCTCCGGGCAGGAAAAGAGCACACATTCCTAAGGCAGCGTGGTTCCCAGGGCACAGTTGCCATCCATCACTCCCCTCCGGAAAAATGTAAATATGCTCTGGCCGATAGTGGCATTATTTATTATCCTAGCTTCAGCGTGGACGTGAGCAGGCCCGGCTGCTGGCCAAGCCTTGTTCATGGTTCCCCTGGGAGGCTCAGCTAGGTGGGCAGAGCTGGGGGGGGGGGGGGGCGGGGGGCGGGGGGGCGCGGACGGCGGCGGGGGGCCGGAGGCAGAGGCAGGAGCTCCTGCAGCTGAGCACTGGGCTGGTCCTCCCACCGAGGCTGGAGCGGAAGCGGCCCCACCTTGGAACCAGCGTCTTGGAGTCTGTCCATGTCTAGAGACTGAAGGCTGGCTCCATGCGGGGCCCAGACACACGGTTCCCGGCGGGTGGGAACGGATCGGTTTCTGGGTGTTTGGCTTGTGGCGGGCGGGGGATTGTGCTGGTGTCACTGGAACCCAAGACACTGTGGCTCGCCTGGCCGAACGTTTCCCTGAATCAGTCATCTCTCCCTGAGCGTGCAGCGGAACAGGCCCATCACCGAAGACCCCTGTTCTCAGGGAGCTTCCACTGAGGGGCCCCCGGTGCCCCCCACTCCCACCACAGTCTGCAATAGGCAACATTCAGAGGCGGACAATTCTCTAGGAGAGGCAGGAAAAGGCAGCAACAGCTCAGTGTGGTCCCCCTGCCGGGTGCGCCAGCTCCCTCCCCTCCTGACCCTGCCAGGCCCAGGGGCAGAACGGCCTCTGTTATCCTGCACGGGGTGGGCTTGGAGTCAGGGGGGCCTGGGCTGAGCTCTCGGGTGGGCTTGTGAGCGCCTCCTGTGCAGTTTTCCCGTCTGTAGGATGGGGATGATGAGCCCATCGGCTGGGCGAGTGTGAGAATAAATACACTAACATCTGTGCGGGCCCAGGCACACTACACAGCCCAGCGAACTGCCACTTCCAGTGTTATTTCCAACTGTGCGGTGGCCACTGGGGGAGGCGGGAGGAACTGCAGTGATGAGGGGGCAGAAGGCACAGACAGGCCAGGGCAGGACGGGCAGGAGGAAAGACGTTGGGGTCAGGCCAGGCGGAGCCAGGGCTTGAGGTCAGAGTGAGAGGGCAGGGTCAGGAGGTCCCGTTACAGGATCTGAATGCTCTCCCTAAAACACAGCATGGGAGACGGGAAAGAAGGGTTCATTTCAGTTGAAACCGTTTTGAGGCTGAATGTGTCCACCGGGTGTCGTGAGAAATATGACTGTGACTACAGCTTGGTCTTTATGCTTTGAGGCTCTCATTGAAGACAGGACTGCCTTAGACACAAGTGACTACAGACAGACAGACAGACAGACAGACAGAGATGGGCATGAAATGGTGTAGACAAGCCCAGTGTAGGCAGAGAGCACAGAGGTCAGCCGCAGGAGAGGAGGGTGCACTGGGGGCTCCATGAAGCATCGTGAAGGGGCAGGAACCTCAGACTGAAAGATGTTCGTGTACGGATCCAATCCAGTGACTCGATCCCAAGCTTCCTCTGGCAGAAGGCCTTTCCTTTTCTTCTCTTATGTCTCAGAGCTCCGTGCACACAGTAGAGACCCCAAAAGACCCCCACGTAACAGGTGAAAGGAGAAGCCGAAACAAAACGCATTTCTAAATCCAGTAATGGTTACTGTCAGGGTGACCTGCTTGCAGAAAACGATGGGCGAGGGCGGCGGAAAGGAGCCATGGATGTGTGTTCCCTTCTTGGCCATTTCCCTTGGTGGATTTCTGGGCAGGAGGCTAGCTCCATGAAAGGCCAGTGTCTCCCAGTGGCACCCGTCTGGAGGTGGCCCCATCTTTTTGGTAGAATTCAGAAATGTGATCAACTGCCCCCCAGCCAGCCAAGCAAGCAGCTGGCACCCCCGGTGGCACCGGGGCCCTACACAGATGGAGGTAACATTCTTCGGAATCTGTTTGTGTTGTAGATGTGGACGAGTGTGCAACGGATTCCCACCAGTGCAACCCCACCCAGATTTGCATCAACACCGAAGGAGGGTACACCTGCTCCTGCACCGATGGCTACTGGCTCCTGGAAGGCCAGTGCTTAGGTAACAGCTCTCAAGGGCTCATGGGGACTCTTGGAAGTGAGTGGTTGCCAGGGTCACTGTGAAATGGGCATCGCTGGGTGGGCTTTGCAGGGGGCGGGGGAAGTACAAGGCTATGAGCTTACATGTTTCAGTACCACTGTGTTTCTTCTTGTTGTTGTTAATCCTCACCAGAGGATATCTTCCCATTTATTTTTATAGAGAATGGAAGGGAGGGAGGCAGAGGGAGGGAAGAAAGGAGAGAGAGAGAGAGAGAGAGAGAAGCATAGGGATCAAACCTACAACCCAGGTACGTGCCCTTGACCGGAAATAGAACCACTGACCCTTCAGTGTGCTGGTCAATGCTCTAACCACTGAGCACGCTGGCCAGGGCTACAACTTCAGCAGCCACTCTAAACGGAGCACACCAGCCAGGGCCACACCACCTTTTGAAATCAGTTGTCACCATCTCCGGCATGTCAGCGTCTGAATTTTTTGATTTACTTGAAAGGCTCCTGTTTGATTTTACCTACACCTTCTTCCCGCCTTCAGGACGTTTATGGCCAAGGCAGGAAAGGCGGAGGAGAGAGTTAACCTGTCCTAGTTAGAGAGCATACTAAGAGAAGGGCACACTTTGCTCAGCCACAGGCAAGTTCCAGCTCTCCCGCGTGGGGCAGGAGATCCCGCGCGAGCCCCATCTCCGCCCCACACCCCATCATGCCCACCCCACTGGCTGGTCTTTCTTTTTACTGTGAAGGAGCCAGCCGTCCCGATTGAGAATTTCGTTGCTTGCAGTTGGCATCTGCTCTATGGTCTCTCTGTTTATTTTCACTGGAGGGCTATTTTCCTTTCTTCCCCTGTAGTTTTCGGTCTCGCCAAGTGAATGAATTCATAGCCCTCTCTCGCTGTCAGTTCAATTTCTATTCTGGGGTGTGATTTCTATGCTGTTTTCTTGGAGAAGCCCTGCCAGGTTCAATTCTCCGAGACACCGTCCTATTGCCTCAAAGTCAGCCCTGGAGGAGCCGAGAAACAAATCCACACGACATCATGGAAACAAAAAAAAGAAGGTTCTTTTTTTCCAAGTCTCTCTCCATCGAGACTGCGTGTAGGTCGGCCCCAGGGCCCTGTCTGCGGCCTCTTGGGGGCCCGATAAGCCAGCCCAGACTTGGCACGGCTTCCCTTTCCAGACATGCACCAGAGAGCTGGCTGCACACGGCATGTGTGAATGTGATGGTCGCTGTGCATTCTAACCAACCTCCGCTATTATGGAAAATTTGATGCCGCTGCTTTGAACATAAGCACATCATTGTGAGTTGTTTGTGCAGGAACTTAATATGTAGAATTTCAGAGCTGGAAGGGACGTTTGATATTATGTCATTCAACTTTTATGCAGTTGGAAACTGAGACTCAAAAGCGGAGGGACATTTTGGACAAAGTGAATTAGGTCTAAAACCCACCTCCTGTTCTTCAGTCCAGTTACTTTCCACCACCAGGGGGCGCAAGAGAGGGTCAGGTGCTGGGGACACACAGGCTGGACAGATGATACAGAGGACGCCCCTCTGATCTGAGGGTGGCCAGACACTGGGACATTCCTCTCCCTGGGCGGGTGGTGCCTGACCCCCGAGTGTGCAGCTTTGGGAGGGGCTCTTGGAGGCCTGACAGCTTTGCCTGGTGCCACATGCACTTCACATCCTAACTGTGGCTGAACGCTTGCCATCCTCAGGCCAAACTTTTTCTTTCTCTTTAAGACACAAGTTCCATAGCCGTGTCCACTGCCCCCTCTGTGCACCTTTGGAGACATTGCTTTTGGAGAAAAAGGAGGGGCTGGGGGCTGCACTGGTGTCACTGCGCTGGTGTCAATTCTGTTTCTTTGTTATGGGGTGGGGCCACAACATTAGTAACAAAGAAACAGAATTTCTGGAGGATGAGGCCCAGAAATCAGGATTTTAAAAAGATTCCCAGGTGATTCTAATGTGCAGCCACGGTTGAGAACCACTGGTTTAGGGGGAAGTGGAGATGAAATAACCAGTTATAGCTACAGTCAGATCATTCAGTCACAGCAGGTGCTTGTATAGGTGAGGACTTTGTCTCCACCTGTAGGCTTCATTCAAGACATCCTATCTCACAGGAGTGAATTTTCCAGCCCATTAGCTGAGAAGTGCTTCCCCAGGGACACGAGGCTCCCCATGGACTGGTCCATGTTGGCAGGGAGGTCAGATTGCCTATTCTGCTAAAAGGATCCATTCATTTGCAGAGCGGCTTGCTCAGGAAAGACCAGCCGTGGCTTGGATGAGGTGTGTTTAGCCAGAGTTGTATGTCCGCTCTAGTGCAAGGAGGAGATCCCCGGTGAGCTCCGGAGTCCTGGTGTTGCTGGATCCGTGGGTCTCCAGACTGCAGTGCGACCAGCTCGTCCTCCCCCACACTTGTTCTTGTTCTTGTTCCTGACACCTGGGCATAGTCACTATTGATGGAGCTGGTGAGGAGTCTATTGGAGCGAGACTACAGATTCTTCTTATACTTTGAGCTAATGTGTCCCACTTATATACAGTCTTAAAGTGGACTCGTAACGTGGATAAAATCTGAGCAGCCGTCTTGCCCATTCTAAGCAAAATCGTCCTCTACAACTTTCAAGATAGGGTCAGGTGTTCATGGGACCAAGATGGGTCGGGGAGGATTATAGGGAGATCGAGCCTTGGAACCCAGATAGTGTCACCAGCCCTGACACTTAGTAGGTACGGTCTTCACTGGTTCTCCTTGGCTTCCTTTTGAGATCTCTCTGCAGAAGAGATGGGGGGCATTGCGGTGGAGAAGAAATGTCTTACCTTGCGTGTTTCTGTTTCCAGACATTGATGAATGTCGCTATGGCTATTGCCAGCAGCTGTGCGCGAATGTTCCTGGATCCTATTCCTGTACTTGCAACCCTGGTTTTACCCTCAACGAGGATGGAAGGTCTTGCCAAGGTATGCGACGCGAACGGTAACTCGAACACGCCGTGAAACACGAGAGGCTGTCTTCTGCCGGGCCTGACAGCTCCTGCGGGTGGGAGAGGCCGCGCTGTTAAAGCGCTTGTCCGCCCAGTGTCACTGCCCGAGCATCTCCTTGCTTACGGAAACCCGAGACCCGAACGGAGGTTGCATGATGCATGTCAAGGAGTGCTCTGGGCATTGCTGGCGTGAGAAGCGCAGCCATCCGTCAGCTGGGAGCTACGGTTTCATGGGCTGGCTCCTCTGTCTGCTGTCCAGCAACAAGCAGCCTTGCCGGCTTTCTTGGCTCATCAGAAACGTTCTTGTGTATCCTGTAGCCTAAGTCCAATTCCTGGGCCAAAGTGGGGTGGTCGGAAAGAACGCCTGACCTGACCCTTGATGAATGGCGAAATAAACACGCACACTCTATGCAGGGGTTTCATGGATAATTTTGATGCCTCGTGTTACAGTTTCCCCTTCAGCCTACGCCAGGAGGGCCTGTTACTTAGCAAAGAGTCTGGTGGCGGCGGTCACGTCCCCTACCACTCAGCATTCCTCACAGAAACAGGACGAAACAGAGGCATTTTCTGGTTTTCACATGATCGCTTCGAGCACTGATAAGAAAAACAATCTCCATGCCTATTGTGGTTTCCATCTGCTGGTTTCTCCTGCTCAGGAAATGAATGGAGGACTTAAGATTCGAGGAATTAGTGCAGGTCCCGCCTGCCCTGGCCTGGCCGCCGGCTCCCCGCCCGCCCCAGCCCCCGGCCGGGGCCTCCGGGCCCTGGCAGCTGCTCCGTCCAGGGTGGAGGCAGTGCCGGGGACTCAGAATGAGGTCTTTGTCTGGAGCTGCCACCAGGTTTCGCAGGGCCCATTTCCTTGTCACACCACCAGAGGCCTGGCTGGCGGGCTTCTGGCCAGCTAGTTGGAGGATATTATGTCTCCATTTAATCGCATCTAAATCGCTGGGTAAACAGGAAGGCATGGCCTTAAAGAGCGTGATCCTGGACTCTTTGGAAGTCTCCCGTCCAGAGCTGGTTCTGCTGATTGTTCCAACAAGGCTCCTCTCGCCAGCAGAGGTCATTTTCTTCTGGGAGTGGAGACGGGGCTGGGCGGTTGAGGGGCCGATAGAGCAAGGGCCCTCCCCTGTCCCTGGAGTGGGAGCAGGCGCCTGGCTCCCTTGCCGCTGTGATAAGCAGCTCAGGGCAGACCCAGCCGTCTCTATGCCAAGGCTCGGGGTTGGACGTGCCAGCCCAGGCCCCCTTTTCTACCCCCCCGCCCCCCGAGTCTGGCTTGGTGCACCCGACACCCCCTGAGGAACAGCCAGGCGCAGCAGAGGCCAAAGTCCCATGTGTCCTTGAGCCTCTCAGGGCCGGGCCTGTGACAAGGAGCAGATAATACGTCTGGTGGTGCCAAGTCCTGCAGCAGGCACAGCACCCAGGCTTGGACACGGGCACTGGGCCACTGGGATGTTGCATCAGCTGGGCCCGCTGGTGACACGCATGTTCCCAACTGCACGGGGCTTGTGTAATTCTAACACCTCGTGCGAGGAAGTGTGCTCTGCCCTCTTCCAAGCATTGTCCCATCCGTTCATTTCACTGAATCCCAACAATGGCCTGGACGAGGGAGGCAGGGCAGGTGCGTGTGGCTCTCTGCACAGACAAGGAAATCCAGGAGCCAAGAGGTTAAGCAATTTGGCCAGTGCCTCCGCCAGGTGGTGGCAGAGCTGAGCGCAGACCAGACGAAGGGCTCGGCCTTCCTGCCCAGCAGTGGAGCTGCGGTCTGTTCCCACGGGACCCAGAGGGCATTTGGACATGTGTGGCTCCTGGTGCTGGCAGGAAAGGGCAGCCAGGGTTCCCAGGGGCAGGATCCTTTGGGTCCTGCTGCTCTGCAGAAACAGCTGAGAGAGAGGGTGGGACTGGAGTCTGCTCATCTCCGTGTGCCCGGCGTCTGGCTGGAAGCCACGAGTGCCAGCCCTAATGCTCACCAGCGCTGTCCTGCCTGAACCTGCCTCCACAGCCCAGCGCCACCACGTTTTCCTGGCCTCCTGGGCGGAGAGCCTCCAATCCCCCATGGGCACCAGGGGACACGGGTATCTCACTGGACCTACCGTGCATGGCTGACTATTATTTTTCTTTCTCTAAAATGCTCCGAGGGCTTCCAGGAAGCAGGAAGTATCTGGGCATGGAATTATCCCTCTCCTTTAAGAATAGGTTTTCAAAGCTACTCACTGGGAAGTCTTTTAACTCTGAAAGCACTCACATCTCTATTCAGAGTCTTAAGAGGGCTGCCCGGGACGTTTGAAGAGGACAGAAGTTCTCTCGGCTGGAACGTTGGTCATCGGCGTAAGGAGCATGGGAGAGAGAGTGCTTTAAGCTGGGCAGCCAATGCTAGTGCAGGAGGGGGCGCCCCAGTCCTCCTCCCCGTCTCCGTCAGCTGTGCAGAAGGAGTCTTGAGTTTTAGAGAAAGACCCTTAACTCCTGTTCCAGTTATAGCTGCACCCTTGTGAGCTTGGGGACTTGGGTACATCTCTCAGCCTTAACACAACCGTGACCATCTTGTTGATGCATAATTGACGTGCAATGAACTGCACGGTTCAAGGAATGTGCTTTTGTGAACTTCCACAGAGGTATACACCCATGAACCCATCACCACACTCAAGATAATAAACATTCCATCATCCCTAACAGTTTCCTTTGTGGTCCTCACCTTAACCTACGGAACTTGGGGCTGTGGCCCTAGAGCAGGGTTGTTGTGAGGATTCCGTGAACTTGAGATCCCGTTATTATCAGTGATGTTATTTATGCATTGTTGTCTCAGTCAACTCAGGTGGACACCTTATCATAGACTCGGGGACTGAAACAACAGAAATTTATTTCTCACGGGTTCTGAGGCTGGACGTACAAGATGGCGGGGGGTGCGGGGCAGCATGGCCTGGGGCTTTCGTGGGCGCTCTTCCTGGTTGGTCAATGTCTAACTTCTCTCTGAATCCTCAGCCGGCAGAAAGAGCAAGAGCAAGTCTCTGGTGTCTCTTTCTTTGAGGGCACTAATTCCCTCAGGAGGTCCCCACTCTTAGGACCTCACTTAAGCTTAAGTGCTTCCCAAAGGTCCCAGCTCCCAATGCCATCACATAGGAAGTTAGGGCTTCAACGTGAACTTGAACTTGGCCGGAGGGGAAGTGGGGGGGGGTGCTGAAAAGGGGCACAATTCATTCCACAGCAGTAATAAGTAGAGTTATTATTAGAATTGTCACAGTTATTTGTGTGTTTACCTGAAATGTCAACGTCAGCGGGGGTGAGGGCAGAGTTCATCAGGAATGGAATGTGGCAGGTGACTGGAAAGAGCAGACATTGCCTAGAAATTCCTGTTGGTGACCTTGGAGAGTGGACTTCCTAGGAGGTATAAACATGTACATGTGCACACATGTATAGGACGTGTATACATGTTGTTTCTACCCTTCCCCCTGTGTGACTCCAGAGGGACCTATGGGTGGAGCCCCTGATTCTTCAGTGAACACTTCTGGGGGCCGACTTCTCAGTCTGATAGGCCCCAGGTGGAGAACCTCGCGGCCCGTGGACCTGGTCCCCCAGGGACAGCAGATTGTGTTGCCAGTGCATGTTAATCTGCCTGGTTCGTTGTTCGGGAACCGTCAGTGACGCGCTCTGGCTTTTCACAGACGTGAATGAGTGTGCAGCGGAGAACCCCTGCGTGCAGACCTGCGTCAACACCTACGGCTCCTTCATCTGCCGCTGTGACCCAGGATATGAACTCGAGGATGACGGAGTTCGTTGCAGTGGTAATGGGTTTTATTTAGCCCTGGAGACCTCCACCTGTCCTAGGGGCGCAGGGGTGAGGGGTGGCGGGCCAGGGCTTCCTTCACAGGTGTTTCCTCCCATTGCCCAGAAACATCTCCCGTTTGGGACACAACCACACAACACAGGGACGAGTCACTTCCGGAAAGGTGGAGTGAGGCCAAATGCAAAAACCAATGGGGTGGCCTTTCAGAGTCTGAGATGGGGGTGAAGAGGGAGAGGGGTCACCCAGTTTTGCACGTCGGTGTGCGTTCTCTGTCCTCACCCAGCAGTGACCCGGGTCCTGGGGAGAGCACAGACGGTGCTGACACAGGGCAGTGGCCCAGGAACAATGGCCTATCTCATACGGTCGGGTCAGGAGGGGCGTGTGGAGAGAATGAGGTCATGTATGTAAGTGCAAACACTGAGAAATTCTAAAATCTCTGCAAACACTCGGTGCCCAGCTCCAGGCCTGGCACCTGGCGAGCATGGAATAAGGAGTTGTCAGATCAATGCGCGAATGATTGAACAGCGAATGAACGAGTCCTTCACTTGTTGTGAGGACATAGATGTGACGGCTTAGTTGAGCCTTTTATAAATTCCTTCCAAGCCCAAGAAGAAGCTGGTGCTCTGCCCATGCTGGACGGTGGATTCTGTCCTGATTTTCTTCTTCTCCCTTGTAATAAGAAACGTGTCAACTCTTGCCAACTCCTTAAACACAGGGACCGCATCGTACTCCTATATCAGCATCCTGCACAGGGCCACACACAGCTCTCTCTTTCGTTCTTCCTTCTTTTCTTTCTCCCCTCCCCCTCCCCCCCTTGTTTTTGTTGTTGTTTTTGTTGTTTGGTAAATGTTGAATTAAGCCCCAACCCATCCACTTTTGGCATCATCATCATCATCATCATCAGTGGTAAACCGGCACAGGCCGGATTAATGAGGCTTCGCTGTGTTTTTCAAAAACCAGTGGTGGCCATGCCCGAGGGCGTGAAAGCCTTTCTGCCTCGCAGGATGGAACGTTTCCTAATCCTGGGTCTCACTGTGACGGGAAGGGACCCGGGTCGAGATGGGACCGTGTGATAGCGCCACTCGGGACTGGAGTGTCTGGGGACAGAGTTCCCTTAAACAAACGAGCGCCTCTCCCAGGGGCCAGGAGAGCCAGGGCAGCGAGCAGGCAGTGACAGGGAGCCTTCCACCCATTAAATGTCAGCCCAGAAACAGTAATAAAATCCCCTCAGGCATGAAAAGCTACTTTCTTTTGAGATTTCCGTGTCCTGCATGGCACTCCTTGGGGCATCTGGGCCAAGGAAGTAATTGGTGGGAGGGTTAGCGTCGGGAGATGGGGTCAGCTGTGTCTCTAGAGTTCCTTGCACGACCACAGGGTTTTTTTTCCATTCGCAGAGGCGGTGTGGTGGAGCCAGACAGAGCTGAGTTCAAATTTTGGCTCTACTGTGTAGTGCTTTCCCTGGCCAGGTCACTCCCTAGGCCTCAGTTTCCTCATTCATTGAAAAACAAACACCCTCAGGGGGTGGTCAACAGGATTAGACATGTTGGTGTAGCTAAGTGCCATTGCAGGTTCACGTGCTTGCTCTAAGCGTAAGTGGAAGAGACCTTTGGCTTTTCCAGCGGTGTACGTCCTCGGTGGTTGGGCAGGGGTTTTCCGTTGCCTGGCTTCACCTAAAATGGCCAACTTCTCCACACCCACCAGGATGCCCATGTTCCTCAGACTTAGAGTGACCATGACCCCCGGACATTGAGGGCCTTAGGGCTGGCTTCGGATAGCAACATGACACAGAATTTATGTCCCGTCTCTTCTACTTACCCCTTTTCTCTGCTAATCACTTTCCCCAGGAAATGTCACCCTCACTATTATCACAGCCAGTGTGGCCCCTCCATGCGGCACCAGACCCTTCCTAGCCGTGTCCCCTTGCCCCTCGGGGATTTGGGAAGCCCAGCAGATCCCGGAAACCGTGGTGGGTTTTCAGGTGGATGAATGAGAAGGGCCTCCTGCATGCTCCCTGCCAGAAACTGGGCTTGTATTTCAGCTCTTAGGTCTGGGGATTGCAAGCCCTAAGATACACTGAGTGTGTCTGTTATGGCCTTTTGCTGCCTGGTGGGAGGTGGAGAGGGGTGCTACCATCTCCTCTGCACAGGAGCTCACCCTGTTCGGGGGATGTCCCCCAACCTCAGGACTCCCCAAATCCATCCATTTTAAGTCCCCAGTATGATCGACTCAGGGAGACCTTACAGAATCGTGTTGACAAGTATAGGATCTGGAGGCTGGCTGGGTTCAGATCCCCACTTTACTGATTCGTCATTATCTGTGAATTGAGTAAGTTCCCGAACCTCAGTTTTTCCCTGTAACGCATGGCTACTAATAGCACCTCCTCCGCGGGCCGAGGCGAGGGTTAAATCAGACAAGGCAGGTAAAGCATTTAATTGGGTGCCTGGTACATAGCAAGTCTCCGGAACCGCCAGGGGCTACTCCTGCTTCTCCCGAAGGTCTGAACCAATCCACACGCTGACCCATTTCCAGCCTCCCTCAGCCTGCCTCACCCCAACACCAAGTGACAATTCTCCCCAGCGCTGCCAGGCCATAGAGATAGAACGGGAGCTACTAATGGGAGCCTCGTATGCAGTCTAGGAGTCTGTGCAGAGTGAGGACACGCTTTGTTATGATGAGCGGGGCTCCCAGGGGACTGGGAGGGGCCATGGCAGAAGCGGATCTCACTGCACATACCTTAGCTTTCAAATCCGCATCCCAGTTCTGCTGGCTCGGAACCCATCACCTGAAGGTCCCGAGAGAGACTCGAAGGATGCGAGAGGCATCAGGCATGTAACACCCGGGTTATCCGATGGCGGAGAAGCCTCCTCAGTGGCTGACACCCACTCGGGGTGATCCCAGCCATCAGCGGTCTGTGAGTTGGAGAGCAATCCGAGGACATGTCACAGGGGGAAATGAGTGAAAGCAAGTTTTCGGGAAACAACAAATGAAATGAAAACATGTTTTCTTTGGCCTGTTGGTTGAATGACGCTCAGATGGGGGCTTCACTGCCAAACTCCGTGTGTGATAAAGAGCTGGCTTTGCTGCGACGCCTGCTTCTGCAGCCACTGACAACGCCTGCGGTTCAGAGGCCCTCAGAGGCAGGCGGGCCGCTGAGCCACGGGGTGCCCGGCCGCTGATGCCCTTCTAGAGTTTTCTCTTCCAAGGAGGCTTTTGGACATGAGGAAGTTTTGACATAATGGACACCCCCTGGCTTTCTGGCTATGTCCCTTTTCGTTGTGGTTTTAGGAATAATATGATTTTTCAACTTGGGACATGAATAAAGTTGCCCTTTTAGAAGACCAGGGCCAGTGAGTCATTTTTGGGTTCCGAGGAAGAGCTCTGTAACCAGAAAACTCCAGCGGGCAAACAAATCCCACCTCCAGAGATGGAGGGCGAATTCACCTGCAGGGCACAGTGAGTCAGCCATGTAGCAGGGCCAGAGGCAGAGGGAGTGGGAAGCTCGATGGAGAGAGATTTCAGTTCCTAACAGAATTGTCCAAATATCAATGGGCTGTCTCAGTAGGTAGTGAGCTCCCCGTCACCAGACATATTCAAGAAGCAAATTGGCGGCTTCTTAGCAGTAAAGTTGTCCTGTGTCCGAGAGTGTGGCAGTGGGAGTAGATGGCCACTGAGCCCCCACCTCCGGGGAGTCTGTGATTGTAAACAGCAGGTGTAACTGGTCCCCTCTCCCCCAGACATGGACGAGTGCAGCTTCTCCGAGTTCCTCTGCCAACACGAGTGTGTGAACCAGCCCGGCACGTACTTCTGCTCCTGCCCCCCTGGCTACATCCTGCTGGATGACAACCGGAGCTGCCAGGGTAAGGCCGGCCGGAGGGGCCTGGCGGAGGGGGACGTAGGCGGGGCTGGCTCAGATGCCTTCACCTGGGGACCCCTGTGCCGCTTTGGGAAGGTGACAGGGGTGAGAGCAGGAGCGGGTGTTGGCGGCTCCCAGAGTGGCAGTTTCTGGGCAGGATGCCTGGGCTGGTGCCTTTCTGCCCTGTGATTCATCCTTTGGCCCCAGAAAGGACATGACCGCTGGCGCTTCTGTAAATGAACTCTGCGGATAGAGGTGGCATCCGCCAAGGGCCGGTCCTGCCTCCCTCGGCAGATCTGCGGGCCCCCTGCTTCCAACCTAACTAGGACGTTGTATGACCTGAGCAACCAGAGCCCAGGCTTTCTCATGGCCCCTGGGGGCCTCCTGGTCAACCTTTTTCTACTGACTTCCTAGAGAAGGTGTGCCAGGGAGACCTCACCCATCTGACTGCTCTGTCCCCATGCTGAGTAAGGGGTGGGTCTTATTCAGATCCTACACTTGGCCATTTTCCAGCCCCATGCTCCACCCACCGGGGCCGGTGGGGGAGGCTGGTAGCTGAGCAGCTGACCCACTTCAGCCTTCTTGCGCCTGCCTTGCCCCAACACCAGCAAGAATCCTCCATCGCAGTGCCAAGCAATAGAAACACATGAGCTACCAATGGGAGCTATGCATGTAATTTAAATTTCTCCAGGAGTCACATTAAAAGAGTGAAAAGAAACAGGTAACATTCATTTTAAGACTACATTTCATTTAATGCGATGTATCTAAATGTTCCAACATGTACGTGCTCCATATACAAATCAGTAATAGTTTACGTTCTTTTGTACGAAATTGTCGGAATCTCGTGTCTTTTCCACTGACCAGGGCTCATCTCCGTCTGGACCAGCCGCATTCTCAGTGCTCAGTGTCCCCATCTGGCCAGTGGCTGCCCTCCTGGCCCGTGCAGCTCTGCAGTCAGACCCAGGCAGCCCCCACCCCCAGGCACCCCCTCCGCCTGGCCCAGGGCCAGCACCCTGGGAACACTACCCTGCTTCAGCCTGTCCTCTGCCCTGCTTTTCAGACATCAACGAGTGTGAGCACAGAAACCACACGTGCACCCTGCAGCAGACCTGCTACAATCTGCAAGGGGGGTTCAAGTGCATTGACCCCATCCGCTGCGAGGAGCCGTACATTCAGATCAGCGACAAGTAAGTCGTGGCTTCCCCTGGGAAATGGGCACGTGGGTGAGGGGCCTGGTTCAGGAGGCTGGGTGAAGGAGAATACACCTGCCAGGGGATTGGGCCTGTGGGACCCTCCCCTGCCCCCGCTCCCCCCGCTCTCCTCGCCCAGCCACACACACACAGCACACAGTCCTCAATCACTCCCCCACTCACGCCAGAGCTACAGGAAGATTCCTGGAGCTGACCAAGAGGGAGAGTTCGGGAACTTTCTTTCCCTTTGACAACTTGGCTCTGGATACACGGGATTCTTGCTTGGGCTTCCCAGACGTCTTGTGCGTTGGACCCACTGGTGGTCGTGTTAGAGTGCAGGTCCCGACTCAGTGGGCTCGGGATGGCCTGAGGGCCTGGCTTTCCAACAAGCTCCCAGGGGAGACGGACAGTCCCCCTGGACTGTGCTGTGAGCAGCGAGGAGCAGGGGATGCCACCAGGAAGTTCTCAGCACCCGGGTACTTAGCTTCCTGTAATCACGTTTCTGGTGTCTCGATGTTCACTGTTTACTAGCTCACCAGATGGCAAATACTGGAACTAGGGACGGAACTAAAGGGAAGACCACCTCTACAGCTGAAAGCCCTGGACAGTGTTTGCCTGTGTGTGGCCTCCTAGGAGTCCCTTCTCTTTCTTTTAGTCCCTGTTTAACCATCTCAGTTCCTCCTCGGGAACACACACACACACACACACACGCACACACTCACGCACACACACACCACACACACACACACACACCACACACCACACACACACACACACACGCACGCACACGCGCGCGCACACACACATGCGCGCACGCACACACACGCACACACACGCACACACACACATGCGCACGCACACACATGCACACACACACGCGCATGACACACGCACATACGCATGTGCATCTTCTGCCCTCCTCTCTGCTGGTGACACGTTTACCACCCTGAGCCCCGCCCTAGCCCTGGGATGCACTGGACACGCCCCTGGTGTCCTCTAGGAATGCAGCCTCTCAGAGGAGGCCCTGGTGTAGCCGTGTGCTTCCCCCTCAGATCAAAGCTGACAAAAGAAATAAGCCAGTCAGAGAAAGATAAGTATCACATGATCTCACTCATTAGTGGCATATAATGAACAACATAAACTGATGAACCAAAACAGAGACAGAGAAGCACCCCTCAGACCGCCAAACCTCAGAGGGAAGGTAGGGGAGGGTGGGGGTGAGGGGGAGAGATCAACCAAAGGACTTGTATGCATGCATATAGGTCTACCCAATGGACACAGACACCGGGGGGTGAGGGCATGAGTGGGGGGGGGCAATGGGGGGGGTAAGGACACATATGTAATACCTTAATCAATAAAGAAATTTAAAAAAAAAAAACTGACAGAGGAAGACAAAGCAGGGACAGGTCCTTTAGAGCCGTCTTCGCTTGTTGCTCCCAAGCAGCCCTTTGCAGAGGAGTCTCGGATTTCTGGTCCCACGGCCCTTTGTGGCAGAGCTGAGCGGTGGGTTACTCCTACCGCCTTCTGTTCCCAGTTCTCTCTGGGTTGCTCCAGGCTGCCCTGGTCTGTGGCTGGAAATTGACCGGGCTCAGCTGGCAACGCTGAGCTGGTGTTACGGCGGGTCCCCGGCAGGCCACTGCAAACGCCCAGTGACCCCGGCCTCCGGGTCCCTGCGCAGTCAGACCCCAGCCACCTCTCCCAGGTCATTTCCTTGCCCAGGTGTCCTGTACTCCTGCCAACCTGAGCAGGGCACGCTCTCACCTTTACCCCGGCGTGTCCCACCTCCGGCTTTCACGCACACATTGTCTGCATGTGGAAGCCATTCCTCCCGTTGCCACGCAGACGGACCTGCCCCGCCTTTCAGAGCTCAGCTCCCGGCCAATCGCAGCTGCTGTGGTCCTCTTCAGCTGGGAGCCGTCACTCCCTCCTCCCAGCGTCTTCTAGGAAACAGTTCTTCGTGTGACTTTTAATGTGACCATTTGGCACCGGGGACATTTGACTTGGCAATTTCGATGCAGCCTTAAAGAGCAAAACTTTAAAAATGCTTTTACACATCCATTGAGGTGTTAGTCGAGAGCCTGTTACGAGCCAAACACGGTGCTGTGTGCCCTGGGCGTTGCTCTTCGAGAAAAGGAGGAGAAAGACATTAGACGTACCATCACACAGGAGCACACCATCGTAGGTTGTGACGGGTGCTATGAACGGGGAGAGCAGACGTTTGCAAAATGAAAGACTAGGTTGGACCTGGCCTAGACTGGGCGCTTACAAGCCCTTCTAAGGAAAGGACATTTGAGTTGGAATGGGAAGGTGAGTGGATGTTAACATAACAGGGAGTGGAAGGGCAGAGGGAACAGCATGTGCAAAGGCTACAAGGCTGGAGGGACCTTGATTTCTTCACTGTTAAAACTCATTGTTTTCTGTATAGAAATATGAAGTAAAATTTCTTAATGAGTGCGTATGGCTGGAGAAGTGAAGGGCTGTGCCATGGTGGCACATTTCACTGACTAAGCACATGAGAAACGTGAGTGGCGTGGGCCAGGACTCCGAAAACCAGACACCCACGGGTCATACCTCCAGTCACAACAGTATCTGATTGGCCAGAATGGGCCATTCTCTAGGAAACAGAGAGCGCGCCGACGTGCCGGAGAGGTTTGAAAAATGAGGCGTCTACGGTTACCGCCTTTGGATGACAAAGATGGGGTGGCCTCCTTTTCGTGTTTTAAACGGGGAAGTGGTTCCAACCAGCGACTGGAAAGGACTGACCACATTCTCACACAATCCCCCTTGTCCACAGCCGCTGTATGTGTCCCGCCGAGAACACCGGCTGCAGAGACCAGCCCTTCACCATCCTCTACCGCGACATGGACGTGGTGTCCACAC